AGAGAGTCTGGGAAACACACACGCACACGTATATTTTTTTTAGTGAAACTGGAGTAGATTTGAATAGGGAAATTAAATCAGAGCATTTTGTTTACTGATGGGGAAATCTGATCTAGTGCAGAAGTTGTACCCATTGAATCTGGGTCATCAGGAGACAATGGAAATGGTCGAAATAATTTTTATCGATTAAAAATTGAAATAGAGCTGAGTAAGCTAGAAGGAACTTTGGAATTTACATGATTTTGGTTGAAGCAGCCAGAACCCCGTATTAATCGCGTGCGAAGTAGTAGTGCGAGGGTCAGTTATAATCAGCCAGATTTATCTATATAAACACGTAGTTATCCTGAAAAAGACAGACAGGGGAAAATTCTTAGCGCAGACTCCCCAGCCGTGTCTGCATCTTCAGTCGACCGTGAGTGGACGGACATCACTTCTGCTTTCTGGATCAAACAAATCACAACGTCGGCAGGAAGCAGGATTAAACCAGCGGACCGGTCGAATAATCTACGGATGCTCAGGGGACCTATGGCCACTCCCTTAAGTTCGGTTAGGACCGAGTAGACACCTCAACCCCGAGAGTAAGATGCCGGAAGTTGAGGGGCCGGGGCGAAAGTGTTAGACACCGACCAAACTGAATATTTTTTTTGCCAAAAAGATTTATGAAGAACTTTTCCCTATTAAAGTCAGTTAAATAAACATATGTTATTTGTTCATATCTTTGATTCTGTTCCTTTATTTCAAAGTGTTCTAAATTTTCCGATAAATACTATTAAGGCCCTCTGGCACTTCTCCACAAAATATAGTAGCTAAAATTTAAGTATATAATCATAAAATAATGTTCCTTTTACATCAATTTATTGATGATAATCATTACTGCTGTGTCATAAATAGCAAAGGTTGACACACATAGAAAATAAGAAGTAGTTTATTCCAGAGAATAATATGGTACACGGTTGAGAACACAGACTAATGTAATACACAGTTAATCGTTAACACCTCAATATTTACCCAATACCTACCCACAATGTGGGATGTGGCACAAGGCTTTTTTATGTGGGGCATTCTGAGCCTGTAGGCTCAGGCAAAAATTGCCTGTAGACCCCGTACATAGCATTGGGTAACTGAAATATGGCAACACTTTTGTTCATGGGTAAAAAACAAGCGAGGGCCTGTTTATGAAGTTTGATCAAATTATTGGGACTGATGCTATTGTTGCAGCGGGCCGAGAGGTGTGAGTGCCAATCGACCGTACAACTAAAATAGGGGACACAAAGGCAAGGAGATGGCAATAGCAAAGAAGGATGACAAACGCAGGTGGTCCGTTGTAGACGATGGAAATCGTGTCTTTATTTGCGAACGGTGGATGGTAAGACGACAGAGGTCGTTTGTTCGGGAACGGTGTCCGGACGTTAACGGGCGCTGGACGTCAGTGGGCACAGGATTAGATCGTCAGCGGGTGCTGGAATAGGTAGCGGGGCGTCAGTAGAGCGCCGCAGGGGTGAGCTGGAGGCCGCTGGAAGCTGTTGGGGTGAGCTGGAAACTGCAGGAGTGCTGGAAGCTGCAGGATTGAGCTGGAAGCTGCAGGAGTGAGCTGGAAGCGGTAGGAGTGCTGGAGACTGCTGGAAGCTGCAGGAGTGCTGGAAGCTGCAGGAGTGAGCTGGAGGCTGCAGGAGTGCTGGAAGCTGCAGGAGTGAGCTGGAGGCTTGAAGAGTGGTGATCGAATGATTTTCGGAAGTTAGCCCTGAAAAGGACTGTTTGAACAACTGCTGCTACTGCTGCTGGGTCCCGTCAGCTGCTGGGCTTGGTCGACTTGACTGGGCGCGTCAAAGTCGCGAATCAGGAAGGCGAGATTTATTTTGTAAAAAATACAAAATTGTGGCACAAGGCCGAAAAGGGGGGTAAGGCTGGTCTTCACTAACTATCTTATACCTAGCTAATTTGATTCACGACCCATTCAGACATTACATTTTACTCATTCACCATAAGAACTCGTCCGTCACCAATCAATCCTCCTTGCACCATAATACCACATCCACTCTAGGGAGACCTACAAAACGCGCCCCATGTCATAATGATCCTAACACATATGTACAAAAATTCTAAGATGAAAAAATGAGATGGGGGTGGGATGTGAATCCAATAACAAACTAAAATATTAACATAAATGAAAATAAAACGTTATTTGATGCTAGTAGGGCCCGTCCAACACTCAAAATGCAGGAGATTACTGCCCATTGGAACAAAATCAAGCAGCTCTCTCGCTCAGGGAGTGGGAAAGGTGATAAAAAAAATCATACGGGCATGGGGAAGTATAAAGCTGACCCAGTCGAGATAGAAAGCGGGGGGGGGGGGGTCAAAAAACAAACTGGGGAGGTTGAGAATCTCAGGCTGGATCATAACTAAAGATGTGGCCGGGGGCAGGCCGGGAACAACACTTACTCGCATTAACTAGGTACATCAAGGCTTGTCTAACCTAACCAAGGGGAGGGCACCACAGGAAGCCACCCCGATGTAACGTAGGCTTGACCTAAAAGAGAAAATCAAGGCTAGCCCCGTTCACACGAACCAAGCTCGCCTCAGTCAGCGTTTTCTATCAGTTCTAATATTCGTCTTGAGCTGATGCTCAAAGAATCGGATCAGACCCTGATGAGAAAGACGGTTACCCCGCTAGACTTCTTCCTCTCGCGTCGTCCATATCACCATTCGGGCCGTGGCTAGCAGCATGAGAAACACCATCCGTTTCACCCCGGAATACGAGGGCTGCTCCCTGGCCGGCGGTATTTACTTGACTCCCACGAGGTCAAGATGTGACACAAGGTCGTTTATCGTGGGAAAAACCCAAGCGTTTCCGCATAGGGTCACTGGTCAAAGATTGGTCATAACATGTCCAAGCTGGTCAAGGCTTAGTCAATGTTTTGGTCATAACATGTCCAAGCTGGTCAAAGCTTAGTCAAGTTCTGGTCTTGGCTTGTCTTAGCAGGTCCTGATATGGTCCAAACTAGACTTTGCCATAGGTCGCAACCCAGCCCGAAGGCCGGGCTGCTCCCTGGCCGGCTAAAATCGCTGCGAAGTCTCGGGCATCTAGATATGACGGTTCATACAAGAGAAGCGGTGACGCTAAACAAGTAAATGAATATAATTAATTTCGGGCCGTATTAATTACAGTCAAAAGTGTGTTCGGTGTTTGTTGACTGTATTTAAATTAATTCTGGTTCGAAATTAAAGGTCTTTTATTTTTGTTTAGTGGCGAAAATTGAGTTTTGTGTGTTTCTGTCAGTTTGAAAGGATGTCGTTGCTATTTTTAGCACACAAGGGTCGTGACCTTTCTCTACCGGCAGGCATATCCGGGGCTGTTTAAGAAAATGTGGGAGTGGTGTTTGGGCACACTGCGACACTATCAAAAGTAAACAAGACATATCAATTTGACATTTAATCTCTTTTGAAGTAGTTTCATTTTGAAGCCACGCGTTTTATTCAGCATCATTTCCATTGATAGACACATTCCTGGAACTCCTTTTTTTTTTTGAATAATGAGCGGCTGGCTCATCACATTCTCTTGGATTTCTTCGACATCTTGAAATCTTGTTCCTTTCAAATGGGAGTTGATTTTTGGAAAGAAGAAAAAGTCACAAGGGGCAAGATCTGGGGAATATAGTGGTTGTCAAGCCTATGGAATGTGGTGCTTGGCAAAAACTGCTGTAGAAGCCATGGCCATGGTCAAATAAATAAATATATATTATTTGTTTATACCTTTGATTCAATTCATTTATTCTGAAGTTCTGGTAAATATTACTAAGAACCTCTGGCACTTCCCCGACAATGTAATATTGGTCCTCCTATATGGCCGTAAATGTTGGACAATCTCCTCACAGAAGAAACTTGAGGCAACAGAAATGTGGTTCTACGGAAGGATGCTGAGGATTTCATGGACTGAATATATGAGTAACAATGAATTTTAGAGAAAATAGAAACAAAAATAACGCAGAAGAGAAAGTTGAAATTTCTAGGGTACATAATGAGGAAAGTGGACTTGGAGAATTTGACACTCACAGGACATATTGAAGGCAAGAGAGACAGAGGAAAGCAACGAATAACCTAACGGGTTTGTGTAATTGGTAGGCAGAATAGGGATTAGGAACGATATTAAAAACACAAATTTTAAGACCTACAAAGAACAGGAAATTGTGGAGAGTCATGATCGCTCAGGATTGAATGGACACAACACATAGAAAAACAATTGGAAGTCCTTTGTGAAGTAATCCCGCAACGAGTACATGAAATTTCGTTTCCTTGAACATGATTATTATTACTGAACATTGTACGCCTCTTTAACTTTAGGGCGATATTGAGAAATGACTGGATGAGTCTCTAATCAACCTAATAAAAAAACTAAAAAGTATTATTGACCTCCTAGGTCTTGTCACCTTTTTTCTTTTTTTTTTCTTTTTTTGGTCGCCAGTTATTTCATCAATGTGAGAGAATGATTGAAAACTATGAACTGAGATTATTTTTCACTTTTTCAGCATTCGAACACTTAAAAAAAAATTAATACTTGCATGTTGCATGTACATAAAAGAAGATCTTTTCTTTAGAATTGCATTAAAAAAATCTAGGTCCATGGCGACTTATGGTTTTGCTAGCAGTTTTGTTCTGTCACTCACTCAGCTATACAAATTTTACGAAACTAGTAAGTTTTTCCGTAAAATTAGTTTCACTATTTTAGTTTAGTTTCACTTTAACTCAAGAGAGTTTCATTTTTATCACGTCTCTACAAACAAATTGACATAGTTTCGAGCAGAAGTTTTTAAAATCGTATTTTCTACACCTCTGCGAAATTGAAAATGTCTGATCCAAATCGAACACCAACAAAGTCCGATACCAAAATTGATGACCCGAGTAACACTGAAAACATCGATCTTCCGGGCAGTATTAATCAAAATACAAAAGCTTTGCATTCAACTTCTAATGAGGAAAAAGATGACAAAAGTACAAATGATGTAATGGTCACTAATTCGGAATTAGAAACTTTTCCGAATGTTGGAGAAGGAAAAGATGACGAGAAAGTATCCCGTGTTTTTACAAAAGAGAAAGAAGTAGACGAAAAAGATTTAGAAAAAGACCCTGCAATTGAAGTATCTTCACCACTCACTGCGGAAGCAACAGTGAAGCAAAATGACGCCCCACTGAAAGAAACAGATGAACAAACAATTGCTGAAAAGAAGCAAGTATCTAAATATGAAGAAGAATTGCAGTTGCGAGATTTAGAAAAAGACCCTGCAAAAGTATCTTCACCACTCACTGCGGAAGTGACGGGGAAGCAAAATGACGCCCCACTGAAAGAAACAGATAAACTAATTTCGCAACATGACGAATTGCAAGAAAAAATAAATTCAACGCCCGAAGAAACAACTCCAAAAAAACTAAATGAAATACCAAGATGGATGCAAGAAGAAAAAAGTATTTGAATATAATTTATTAATTATTATTATTTATTTTAATTTAAAAATAATTTTGGAATCATCGAAAAAAGTTACTGGTGCTTTCTTATGAAAATTAACCCCCTATTCGTGTAGAAAATACCACCTTAAAAAATAAAAAAAATAAAAAAAATATCTGTCGTATATTTTCAGGTTTCCGTGCTATCTTAAGCAAAGCCTAAGATGTTAATTCAACAAAAAGGAAGAGGAAATCTGATTTCACAAAAATAAGTTTAATTCTCCCGAAATGTTAATCGAATTTCGAATCGAAACGAAGTGTGAACAATTTCTTAAAAACAGTTTTAAAAACTTAAAACGATTCATTCATAAATTCGTGATAGTTTTTAAAAGAACGTATTTTCGAAGATAAACTACGCCTAAACTTAAACGATCACCCAATTAAGAGCAAGTCGGTCTTCCACACTCGGAATTCTGCTACCGTTTTTTTATTTTTTTTTTTATCGTGGTATTATTCGTGAAACTCGGCCAAAATATTAAATTTCTCATTTAAAACTAAAAAAATTTTGTATTAACGTGAAAGCCTTGTACAAGGTTTTAATAGTTCTAATTTAAAACGATTCTTGATTATAGAAACAAACTTTATTCATAAACTATTGCAGTCAACGAAAAATTGAAAGAAAACTTTAAAACTTTCTTTTTTTCTTTTTTTTTGCTGGTTATTTTTCTCGGAAAATATTAAGTTTTTCTTTTTGTTGCTGTTCTTCGAATAGACAGCTTATTTTCAGTTTTTCTCTATATTCAGAATTTGTTATGAAAGTTTTAAAAAAATCTAATTCGTCACAAAGAAAAAAGTTAGACCTCCCATTAAAAGTGAGAAACCAACTTAAAAGAAAATTCGTTATACTCAAAAGTTAAGTAAATTTAAACATTACATTCATTACAACTTACAAAAAATTAAAACTTAAATGTCTGTGAAATTTTCAAGCAAAATTAGTTAATAATTATGTTAAGAATAGCTGAAATTATTTTTTTTGCTCTTAGTAAAAATTTTTTAAATAATTCTAATTTTTTTCCTTATCACTTGTCAGAAATTTAACTGTTAAAAACACAGGTTTTTTTTTCTCAATTGCTGTTGGTGGGCGTGTTGGAAAATTACTCATATATTGTTTTCTAATTTTACTCCCTAAAACCTTTTCTTTTACTTTTTTTGTTTTGTAATTGTTATGAAGTAAAGTACTCCCTGGAATTTGTCATAACAGATGGTAGCTCGACTGGCATTGGCTGTGGTGTACTGCTTTTTTGGCAGTATCTTATTTACATACAATATCACCCTGAACCGAAACAGCTTATGCCCTTCCCCTACACGCAAGCCGTTAGTGGCCCCCTCGTGGTCTGCCGATGACAATGCCAGTGGTCTTCTGGTGGAAGCCACCAGTGGGCCTCTAGCGGTCCGTCAGTGGTAACATTGCCGAGACAAATACGCGGGTGGTCCAACAGTGGGCCACATGCAGTAAACGCTAGTGGCATGCCATTCAGTGGCAGATTGGTAGATTGCATGTAGGGTTTGCCTTCTAATTATTCTTGGGAATCTAAACTGTTTTTCTTGGTATGTATCTTGATTTCTTTTTATAGGTGATCTAAGTTGAGTTCATTTTCCGCTTCAAACTCCTTGTCAGATTTCTGGTCATTAACATCCATAGATTGATCAGTTTTACTTTTAATTACTGGATTCAGTAGTCCCCGCCTCCCCCTTCATGTTCTTCACCTTCAGATTCTTCGTCCATTTCTATATTCTCGGATTCCATTCTGTTTCTGAATTGATCCACATGAGCCAGTACATTTTATCCATTTTTCATTAGTATTGCTGTGTTGTTTCCTTTCTGTTCTACAAAGTCCGCTTTCTCTGGATTAGATTCTTTGTCTTTTTTTATACCACACACTTTCACCTGATGAAAATGACATTGTTATGGGAGCTCTAATCTGTCTAACCATTAATGCAAAGGGACTTTGTGGTCTGCCAGCATGTGGAATTATCTTATAGCTTAACAGTAATCTTGGTAAATTGTCGTAATTTTATATTTTTAATTTTGAGAATGCGCCTTGTTTGTTTTTGATTTTGTTGAGTGAACAATATAATAGGGTCAGTTGGGCACTGCCTGTAAGAAAAAGAGCATCATGATGCAATTCACTCTACCAGGAATTTGGAAATGGCATGCTATACTGCTTGGCATTTGTGCCGGAAGCTCCAATACAAACATTTCAGAGTGTTTGGGTGTCAATCTGGGGACAGTGCAGAGGATTCGGAAAGAGTTGGATGAGTCTAATGGTAATTACAAAGGGGTGATGTTGATGCCATGCTTTCATTCATCTTACCACAGGGCCTCAGACTCGACACAGAGGCCTACATCAAGTACCTTGAGGAGTTAGTGCTGCCCTGGGTTGATAGGGTGGCTGCTGGAAGGCCCTATGTCTAGCAACAGGACTCTCACTATGCCACACAAGCAGAAGAACTGAGTTACGGCTGCAAGACAATTATTGTGACCACATCATCCCTTACTTTACAATACATCTGGCCAACTACCCAGACTGCAACCCTCCTTGATTATTATGTGTAGGGCGCAGTTGAGCGAGAGACCAACAAAACTCCTTTGTAGCACAAAATGATGAACTGAAGGAAAGGATTATGGCAGCATTCACCAACTTAAACAAGAGAGGCTGTCCAGAAGCATTTCAGGAGATTCCGAAATCGTCTGGAAGCCATGGTTGAAGCCAATGGCGATTTTATTAAATTTATTACTCTATAGTATTTTAAGGTATTTTCGTGGAATTTTGGTAAATATATCTGTTAAAATGAGATGTTAGTGTTTTATTTTCATTTTTGCTTAATTTAGATGACAATTTATCCATCGCACCCTGTACATAATTAAGTTACAATAAAATTTGTATTTTATATGAATACTATATTTATCTTATGAAAATTGTGAGTAGAGTATGGGGCCCCGTACCATATATTCGAAGTTGGGGGAGGGGGCGATATCATAGATTTGGGAGGAATGAAAAGTGAAAACTTAGCACTGGCCCGAATTTCAGAAACTAAAAAAAAGTAAGTGACAAGGAAATTTTGTAATTTCACTATATATATATATATATATATATATATATATATAAAGTGTTTTCGTAGTTAAGGAAATAATTTTTTCTTCCTCAGGAAAATACCTGAAAGCAAGCCTTGAAGAACGTAAAAGAAGAAGAGACAAATGTACAGACTGCTTTGAAATTGAAACTTGGCCTCAATATTACAACAAATATCTCAACAATGGTTAGTAATGTTGTTTGTACATTTTTCATTTCTTTTTCGTCTTTTTTTTTTTTTTTTGTAAAGGCACTGTTATTTTTTATCGCTTAATATTCGTTGAATAAAATTATAATTGTTTTTAAACAATTTACACTTTTTGTGACAGATTCGAATTTTTAATGTTTCTTATCTAAGAGAACTAACTCTTGATATATTTTTCTCTTGCACGTATTGTTTATAATAATTGCTCGAAAATAATGTACTTTTTTCTATATCAAACAATTGTGATTAATGATTTTCTAAGCGTAGCATAGATGGGGCACAAGGTTGAAAGTATGGGGTCGTCGTAGCGAGATAATAATAATAATAATGATACATTTCTTTTTTAGCTGCATTTGTTTTATAATCATATGTCGGATCATAAGCAATGCCCTACGGCAAGTGAAGGATATGATTTTTTATTGTTTCTACTTAATTAAACAAGACATCTATTAACAAAAAAAAATGGACAAAGCTCTTTGCAGGATATGGGCTGTGCTCATTAGAATTACGTTTTTTTTTTAATTTCCTGAGGCAATGACACAACAGGGATTTTGTTGATTTACTGTTGAGTTCCTGTCTTTATCAGACCCAAAGCTCCAACTACAACAGGAACAGTTTTAGTTTTTAAGTGCAACGTTTTTTCTATTTCCATCTCCAAGGTTTTATATTTGTTTAGTTTGAAAAAAAAAACCTTTTCAGAGATGTTTTTGTCACTTGGTATACTCATTTCTTTGATAATAATGTCTGGACAATTTGTTTGTATTTTCATTATTATTATTATCATGAACAGAGATGCTCACGAGGAGACAACTGGTTATGGTCAGGCAAGTGATAAACAAATTTGAGGTACTGAAAGGAATTTTCTGTAGGCCATATTTATTATTATTATTATTATTTCTTTTAATTTCTGTGGTATACTCATTCCCTACTAGGAAATCTAAGAGATTTAAGCTCTGAATGGCATCATGACATTTCCTACTGTACATTTATTATAGTGGAACACACCTATTCCATAGTTAATAGACTCTCCCACCTATAATAAGTAGGAGTAGTAAAAGTAACGAGTCAGTTGTGGAGTTGGTCAGTCAGTCGATGTCGAACAACCATTAGTCGGATATTAAAGTATCAGCCCCCCCCCCAACTAGATTACTGCGTCATTATCTATTATATCAAGTTCCTAACGTTTTGTACGTCGGACCTATTTTAAGAACGACTTAGTACAAATACAAGCCTCCACTGTAAAACCACTACATAACAACATTTGTGTAAGAAAAATGAAAACACACAGATTTTACATAGATAAAGCAATTTATAAGTGCGAGCAGTGCTTGTGAGAACATATTTTATATATTTCTTTAAGGCATGGACTACCAGGGATCCTTTTAATGAGTCCCTCAGTACCGTTTTCCCAATCAAACACAGGGCTCCAAACACAAATAGAATTTATGATGTTTTCATGTGCCACATTTTTGAGATTTCTACTTCAAGATCTTTGTATAAAGATATTCAGTAAAGAATAAAAGCCGCAAAAGACAGCCCCATTCAAAGAAAATTCAATTCAAGTCCTAAATCACAGCAAATCAACTAGCACAGACTGCATGTCAATTTTGAAAACATCTATGCCGTGTACACTGTACACCAATACACAAAGGAACAAAATAAAGGTGACACAAATTTGCATTGAAATTGCAATTCTCATCTATGAATGGCAGAGCAATAACAAACTGTGGGAAAAGAACTTGACCTTTGCCAATCCCTGTCACAATATTTGCAAGCAGTGGGTGGAGGAAATGGAACAGATTTTCATTGACTTTACTGAGCAACCCAAGAATGTGAAGGTTATGTCAGCCCATTTCAAGAAATAAACATAGGAAGAACATCTAGACAAATGTCATTGAACTAATCTTCAGAAATGTCAGCATACAGATTGACTATTCTTGGTTCAGTTTGAAATTTAAACAAATATTACCTGAAGAAGGCTGGAGCATACAACAGCTGAAATGTTGTGAATGTGATAATAAAGATGAGGACAATAGTCAAAACAATATAATTAGTTACAATACCTTCATCTCAGAAATATAGACAGATCCTGAAGAAGGCTGGAGTGTACAATGACCGAAACATCATGAATGTGATAATAAAGATGAGGACAACAGTCCAAACAATGTAAATAGTGTAAATAGTTACAATACCTTCATCTCAGAAATATAGACAGATCCTGAAGAAGACTTGAGTGTACAATGACTGAAACGTCATGAACGTGATAATAAAGATGAGGACAACAGTCCAAACAATATAATTAGTTACAATACCTTCATCTCAGAAATATAGACAGATCCTGAAGAAGGCTGGAGTGTACAATGACCGAAACATCATGAATGTGATAATAAAGATGAGGACAACAGTCCAAACAATATAAATAGTTACATTACCTAATCTCAGAAGTATAGACAGATGTTTGTATTTTGAATTGTTTTTGTGTATATCCAAAGCCACATTACAGTCTGCAGCAACTGCAATGTTGATAAGAAAGCCCATTCTATTTTTGTAATCTTTGATCATTATGTCTGGGTGATTAGCTTCGATTGTTCTGTCTTTGAGTGTATTATTATTCGTTATTCAATTAGCTTTATTTTTTCATTTCCCCTCCAATTATTTATCTTCTTGAGTTTCCTACTAAAGTCATTCTGGATAATTTGATGTCATATTCAGATATTAAATGTTGGATTTCAAATGAACACAGATTTACTTCCTGGTAAACCCCCTGAAATGCATGACTATTCAAATTCAAGGAAGTTAGGCTTATCAATTTTTTTTTTTTTTTTTTTTTTTTTTAAATTGTTTTTATTATTTCAGTTTTTAATTATGGAAAGAATAATTTAAATAAATTATATGGCAATATTTTTGTATTATTTCAAACTATTGTTCTCATCTTTTTTTATAGAGATATTATTATAGACACAACGTTTCAATCAAGTACCCTTTGTTCATCATCAGGTGTCCATATGGATATGATATATCTATTGATTATTGTGATATTTTGTCCTTGTGATATCAGTTATTGTTTGTTTCTGCTGAAGTGATGTGTCACTACCAGATCCAAGAATTGAACTCACTACCACTAGATGACTGTAAAACATTTAACAAACTACTATATCCTTAACATATGGAGAGTCATAATTGATGACATCTAGAAGGTATATGCCATTAAAAAAAAAAAAGTCTACCTACTTACATCCATGTGTCCCCAAAATTTCAGCTATTGGAAGGAAAAATGAGACATGTCTTTTCCCTATGTTATCCTGTGGTGAAAGAAAGGAAGAAGAAAAAGGGTTTTTCCTTTTATGCTGCTTTATTCAATGCCACCTAGGGGTGTTAAGAGAAGTCTCTTGGCAAACAAGGTGAGAGAATCCCACAAGGACATTAAGAAATTTATTGCAATTTATGTGAGTAATTTCCCATGAAGACATTATTTGGTTTTATTTTTATTTGTCAATAGTAGCAGTAGTAGTAGTATATTTCTTTCAATTTTACTCAATATAATTTTGTTTCAAAATTCATTTTATTTGCTGAGATTAAAAAATATTCCTTAACTTTTATCTCTCTCTTTCATTTTCTCCATTTGTTTTTTTTTATTTCTTTACTGAATTTGTTTATTTTTCTCAGGAAAAGAAGAAGTTCATGCTGAATTTCCTGAAATCAGTGAGAAAGTGTCTATTTGGAAAGGAGACATAACATCTTTGCTGGTAGATGCCATTGTGAATGCTGCCAATGAGACATTATTAGGTGGAGGGGGAGGTAAGTGTATTTCGATTGGCCCTATGAGAGATTCCCAGGACCCCAAGGGGAGGCCACTCTCCATTCTTGGCATATTTAATTCACAGTGAAACTATATCTTGATTTTTTGAGGTTGTCATGGACCGGTGTATGTGTTGAGAGATAAACACATGTGTCTCCTGAAATACCCACAACAAACATGGCAGACTGGGGATATCAATCCATATAAAGAAATCTAAAGAAACGACAAGTACCAATATATATGTACAAATAAATGATAATATATTAACAGTAAAGTGTTACAAGTGACACAGACAATGGTGTGTGTGTCAAATAAATGTGAAAACCTAATGGTCCAAAGTGTGTGTGTGTGTGTGTGTGTATGATGTTCATGCATTTCCCAATGGAAAGCATGTTCTCCATGAGAAATTTACATGTTGACAAGTAAGCAGAAAAAGTGAGAAGAGAACAAGAAAAAATATTGCAGAGTATTTATAGTCTGGAAAGTGTCCCTTAGTAGTGGTTTTGAAAATTAGAAGGAGGTAACCCAACAAGGTATTTTGTTACTAAGTATTTCTAAATGTGTCAGACTCTATAGTATATATTTCTATATTGTATAGACTTACTCAGGCAATATATAACCATCGTGCCTTCAAAAAAATGGTGTATGAAAAGGATTGTGATTTATTGAGTAAATACAAACCTAATTATCTCCCTTAGCAGATTCAGTTAATTGTATTGGACTTTTAGACATGTACAGTAATGTCATATCATAACAAGGACAATTATTCCCTTGACACTACTCTTACTGTATATACGTTTGTCTCCCTTGGCAATGTTGATTTACAGAATTATAAAAGTATGTGACTCAAGTACAAGGCAATATTTCTTATTTATCTTAGATAACAAGTTTGAAAAGAAAATTTTTTTATTCAAAAATTTAAACAAATTAGAAATTATCAAAAAATACTTATCATTTATTTATTTTATTAATAACTATGAAAACGTGTTTTTGATTCAATCTAATAAATAAATAATGTTTAATATCTTTATTGTCAATTCTCAGGAAGAAAGAAAATGTATAAATACACTTTCATATGTTTGGTTTTATTAAAATTCTCATCATCACTTTTTAAAACAATAAATATTGCCAAAGGAGTTAATAGTCTATACAGTAATAGTGATGTCAAGGTGTTGGGGGGTGCTTACTTACTTCCCCCTATAAAGGACAATAAGTCAAAAGACAATGGAATTATGACCCTTGCTAGTTGGACCATGGCACTTCTGAATTCAACATGGTGATAAGCTGACACACACACAGAATTCATGGTTTAAATCCAAACAATCCTTGCTGTTCTCAGGGACAATCAAAGATGACCTGGCAGTACTATCGGGTCTACAAGCAGTTGGTCTTTGACGATGGAATCGTGATTGGCTGCTATTTCATGTGATCTAGCTCAGGATCGGCGAGCGTGGGAAGCGATGGTTTGTGATGCTGTACTTGCTCGGGAGGAAGCCTGTTCAACCTGACCAGGGTGAAAACCGATACAAGTCAAGTCAAGTCAGGCAGTAAATGAAAAGTTATTTTATTATGTGTTATAATGCATTTGTATTTTATTCACATTCATTTTTGTTCAGTTCAATAGCCTGGGATATAACACAAGGGAATTATCCTTTTTGACACACTATTCTTTGTAGGCATGAAGCTTAGACATTGCTGATATTAGGTTAGCAAAGTTTACTTAATGGAGAAGATAAGGGGGCAAAGTTTAACAAGCTTGCCTAGAAAAAAAAGTGTGTCAAAAGTATGTTTTATTTCTTTTGTCACTGCAATTATTGTATAATCCCTTGACAAGATTTATTGTTTGAAAAAGCTGCTTTTAGAATTTTAATAAAACCCAAACATATATAACTGGATTTATACATTTTATTCAGCTCTTACCCTATTTTAGTGAATGTATGTGGAAAGAGCAAATGAAAGAAATTCCTGGAAAATGTATTTTTTAAAAAAATTATAATTACTCATCATTATATGTATATTTAAATTTTCTTCTCATGTTCTCATAATTTTTTTTATAAATTTATGAATAAAAGAATAGTTATTATTTTATAATGTAGTAAATCTCTATCTATAAAAGGCAGGATGTGTGTGTGCATGTGTAACAAATGCACGGCTGCAATTTTCGACAGATTTGCACCAAAATTTACATGCACATGCTCCAAGTTAGCGGGAAGGCCAAGACCAACTTTGCATTTCCCAACTCTCATCAATAATGGAAATAATCAATTTTTTCATGCTTCTATGGCAGTTTTCATGTAGTTTGCAGCCATTTTCTACTGGCCAGAGTGAGAGCCAATAGCTGGCTGCCACGAATAGGCAGGAAGATTCTATTGGCCAGCGTGAGAGCCAACAGCTGACTGACACGAATGTTAACTAGCATGCTAGCATGCAAAAAAAATAGATAGCTGCATTCGTCACAAGTCGGAAAAATTTAAATCTGCATGGCACTTTACTCCAATTGGCTCATTCACTTGCTTAAACTCAACATTGATTCTGATTCTGCAGAACTGGGTTGGGTGTGAAAAAGTATTAACATACTTTTAACATTCATTTTTCATTCGGTTTTTCCAGTTATGAGTCCTTTTTTAAAGCTGATCGTTTTGTGTTCATTTTGCTTAGTTCTTTTTTTGTAACAGATTTAATGTTTAGTATAGAGCTTAGAAAAAATTTGAAGTGTGAGATAGGCAAGAAGTAAAGCATGTAGCAACATCAGCACAGCAAAGGGCACACCTTTAAAGGCAAGGAAGGGCAAAAATATTTTAAGTCAAGTGATAGCGATTGCTGTATGAGTCATACGATTTTTTAATCAAGCACGGGCAACGCCGGGCCATGCTGCTAGTACTAAATATTACATTGTAGTAGTTCACATAGTTTTATAAACCTGTGAATATAAAAATTGATACATGAGTATAGGAAATAGAGTATAGAAAAATAACATGCATTTGACATACCATTTTTTTGTCAGTATGTTTGTTAAACTTTGCTGAAAAGTGGTTAATTCAAGAAAGGAAGTAATGAAAAGCAAGAAAGTTGAAGACTAAAAAAGAAACTAATTAGGTAACCTAATTAATAAGGTTTTGCTTTGGATATGTCAAAGACATTTGAGAGAGTTTGGCATCCTGGTCTTCTTCACAATTTGGAAGGTTATGGTATTTCTGGATAAATGTTTGAATCATGAAATTAAAGTTATCTTGAATGACCACTCTTCTAGATCTTTCTGTATTAATGCAGGTATAACAGAAAGCTCTATACTTGGACCTGGGTTGTTCCTAAATTTCATAAATTACCTTCCTGATGTCATCAGTTCTAAACTTGTTATCTATACTGATGATATAACTATTTACTCCTGTCTTAATAGTAAGTCTGATCAGTTCAATAATGGTCAAATTGGCAGCTGATCTAAAAAATGACCTACAATCTGTTGTTAACTGGGGCAAGAAATGGCTTGTTAATTTAAACACCTCCAAAATGAAACTGCTCTCTTTTAATCATCTGAGAGAACCCTTTTTTAACTTCCATCAACATAGGTGATGCTAACCTCCATGAGAGGGACTCACTGCTCCTTCTTGGACTAAGATTTTCCACTGATGTGAAGTGGAAAGATTATATAGAAACAATTGCTATGTCTGCAGCTAGGAAAGTTGGTTCACTTTTTCGTACTGGACAATTTTTCCCTCTAGATTATATCTTGCAAATTTATAAGTTTATCATTCATCCTTGCTTTGAATATTGCTGCCACATCAGGCCTGATGCTTGTGCTATATCTTTAGAGATTCATTATAAAATCCAAAGAAGAATCTGCAATGTTATTAATCATGCTCTGGCATCTCGGTTTCAGGCACTTTCCCATCACTGTAATGTAGATTCTCTGTACCTTTTCTATAAATACTTTCATGATAATTGTTCTGATGAACTTTCTGCTATGGTACCTAGACTTTATGAATTTAAGCGCAGTACTTGATTGATGGCAAGATCCCATCATTTTGCATTTGAATTGGCGAAATATAACCATAAATTCATTAACACTTTCTTTTCCTGCATATCTCAGTGCAAAAAAATTAGTTTAGTAGGAAAACAAAATTACATTAATAATTTATCACTACATTAATATCCAGAAGCTATTGCTACTGTTTACAGAAGGAAAGGTGCTTAAATTTAATATAAAAAGGGTTAATAGTAGTAAATAGATTTTCCTATCATCTGGTTTACACTCCTTTCCAGTCTTTTAAACAGGAGTAGAGGCTTAACCCTTGTTTCCTGTTTAGGATTGGGCTTCCAGTTCCTTCTAAAGTCTACTTCAACTTGATACTTCTGCTTGAACTCTGAAATTTTATTCCTGAAGTCTAGAATTAGCTGTCTATTTTTCCTGTTATCTAGCCCCTACTTCTGCTAATATAACTCCAGGCAGTACCTCAAGTGACCCTTGAGCTTTGTACTAGGTGAACATTAGTAAAAAGAAAAAAATATCAAGCACTTTGAAATAGTAATGTGAATATGCTCTGCAGATGAATAAGGAAAAAAAAATCTCTGGTGAAACTCAATGCACAAATCAAATCATTTAATAGGTGTTCTGTACTTGGAGAAAAAACATTGTTCAAACAGCTGTGATGCCATTCATGACACAAATTGTGATGCCATTCTCCGATGTCTGTTGTTCATTGCACCAGTAATGACATCCAAGGTCGAGTGTATTTGCATATACACCCAACTCGTTATAACAGGTTTGTTTTCTTGGTCATGATCACTTTCAACAAAAAAATGAATCAATTGTTTTTCAAGACTCTCTGATTGGGAAGTAGCAACAATACAAATTCTCACCTAGCTGGCTATCTTTTCATTTAGCCAAACAGCTATCTCCCTAAATTCACTGACCTCTGGGCTCAACAATTCCTGATTCCTTACTACCAGTTCTTCTGTCATTGACCACTGGGCAGCTTTCACTATTCTGGTCACCTACCTACTTCTCTCATGGCTGGACCCATTTTCTTTTTCCCAACTTCCTGCCTCTCTCTGCTTATATGGATGATATTGGGGTCCCATCCCCTCATCTAAAAGTGTTAAGACACCCCAAAACTACATGGGTGGTCAAATCTTCAAAAGACTATTTATATGACTATGTAAAATCAATGATGAAATTTTTATGTTGCCCAATTCAAAGGCAGTTGTAGATATAAATCCCCCCAAACACTGACACTTATGTTTACTTGAAGATTGACTGGAGACAAAATTCCTATGAAACTCATAACTAAGTGGACTTAAAAGGAAGGAATTTATCTCTTTATCTTCTAAAGATGTGTGAGAAATCATATTGTTACATAGCCAAAAAGATATATGCTGTTTATTGAGATAGTGCCATAGCTGAAAGCACTGTTCATAAGTGATTTTCTAGATTCAGATGTGGAAATTTTCATCTGGAAGACTGAGAATGTTCTGGTGGGTCTACAGTTCTTAGTAATTGAATTTGATCATGAGCATTGTAAGGCATTTGAAAAGATGACATGTAAATTGCTACAATGTTTAGATGCCTCATTAATGTCATTATTACCTATATTACAGATAGTTTTACCTGAAAAAATACCTGTGAACTAATAATATACCCATAATGTCTTTAAGAATAACAAATTAAATTAAAAAAACCAATATTGTCAATTATACATAAGATCAAATATGCTGACAATATACAGGGTGTCCATAAAGTCATTAGACAAATAGAAAAATTATTAAAATTACCATGGAAACAGGATACTATTGAAATTTTGATATAATATGAAGTAAATAGTGAAGTTTATGTAAAAATAATTAATAAATTTCTATATGGACCCTGCATGAAGGAGGTCTAAGTGATATTCAGTTTCTTAATTCTGATAATTCTTCAACTGTGGTCTGAAACATAAAAACAACATTAATTGCCACTGGAAACAAATATAAAAACATAACATTAATAAAACTATTAATATCATTAAAAGAACATTAATAATACTATATTAATATGAAAGAAAAATTTAGTTGCCACCTCTTTCAAGTTTTTCCTAAAGACTTTTGGAAATTATCTAAAGACTTGGTGTACATCCTGTATATCAGTATCCGGTGCTTTACTATTCAGAAAAATGAATAAATAAAAGATAAACAATGCAGGCAAAAACTGTACTGGCATCACTATTACTCTAATTATTGCTATCATTGAGAGAACTCATTTTGCCTTCCATCAGCATGGCTGATGCTAACCTCCAGTAAATTGACCCATTGCACCTTCTCAGGCTAACATTTTTCACTGATATGAAGTGGAAAGATTATACTGAATCAATTGCTAGGTCAGCTGCTAGGAAAGTTGGCACGCTGTTTTGTGCTAGACAATTTTTCAAGCCAGAATCTATCTTACATATTTATAAGTCTATGCATTGAATATTACTCTCACATCTGGCTTGGTTCTTTTGCTATATATTTAGCAATTCTTGATAAAATACAAAGAAGAATCTGCAATGTTATTGGTACTAACCTGGTATCTTGGTTTCAGTCACTTTCTCACCACATTAATGTAGTTTCCCTGTGCATTTTACATATATACTTTCATGGTAATTGTTCTAATGAACTTTTCAGTTATGGTACATAGACTTTACGAATGTAAGTACAATACTAGATTGGAAAAAGTAGTAGGAATAATAAATTATTGATTGATTTTTTTAAAACAATTCTTATTTATTTTTAATCAGTTGATGGTGCCATCCATTCTGCTGCAGGTTCTCTTCTCAAAGAGGAATGCTCTATATTTGGTGTTCGTTCTGCTGGAGAGTCTGTCATTACAGGTGGTAAGTAGTAATTTTATTGTTGGCTTCATACATAGTTTTTAATTTTTGACTAATTAGATCTCAAGTTGATTTTTTCCCCTAAAATAATATATCTGGGTTCTGGAGTATCTATTTCAACCTTAGAAAAAAAAAAAAAAAAATATATATATATATATATATATATATATATATATATATATATATATTTCCAACATAAAAGAAAAAAATCCCATAATGGATAAAATATTCATGTTCTAACTTTCCTCTTCTTAGGAATCTGGATAATTTTGAATATACTTCTGTATTTCTCTTGCCTTTCTTTTTTGTCTTCAACTGAATTGCATTGATTTATTTTGTATCAACATCTTTCTATTTCTTATCTTCTTGACTTTCCCCTTCTTATGAATCTGGGTAATTTTGAATATACTTCTCTATTTCTCATGTCTTTCTTTTTGTCTTTTCTAATATCGTTAATTTCCTACTCTTTCTTTTTCTTTTTCTTTCCTCTTTCCTTTTTCATTGATTACTTATTTTCTTTCCTTTTTCTTTATATAAATCTTTTTTATCTTTTATGGAAAATTTTCCAAAAACAGAAAGTGAAGTAATGTTTTATTAATTGTAATTTTGAATAAAATCATTTACTACCATCATTGTTAGTCACCTGAAGAAACGTTTGATTTTAACGTTGAAACAAAATGTACAATTTTGTAATGGATATTTAAAAGTTCTAATGTAACAGTGTATAATAAATATTTATTGCTCTACTTTTGTATTGAGCCCTGTTTTAAATTAATGTTTTGGACGTTGGAATTTTATTCTGCATTCTATATATATGCAGATATGAGAGTGGATCAATAAGTCTGAATTTGGACATACAGCTACATTTGAACTGAAATTTTCACAGCATAATATTTGATCTATGTGATTATTAAATCACCACTTTATTAAGTGCATTAACGAGGAAGGAGATTATGTTGAAAAATATTTGCTATATAGAATTTGTTGAATAGCTCTATTACCTAATTATATTTCTTTCTATTTTGACCATAAGTGAAAAAAAATATCAAAGACTGTCTTATATATTTATATAAGGTAAGCTTATTTATTTTATTTAGCATAACTAATTAAGTTTTTTGTTATTTTTTAGCCTACAATTTACCTGCAAAATGTAAGTAACTAAACTATATATATGTGTGTGTGTGTGTCTGAGAGAGATAGAGGGTTTTTTCCTATCTTGGTAATTCACCTGCTTTGTTGTTCTATTTACAATAATCATGTAAGATAAAACTACATTAATAAAAATATATGCAAAAGCCTGAATCATATAAAATAAACCTTTCTTCTCTTCATAAATTTGTGTAATTTCTCTTCTCAGATGAATGTACAGAACTCAAATAATTTCTTCTTCAATAAATAAATATATTGAAGATTGGGTTTTATTCTACTTCAATAAATAAATATATTGAAGATTGGGTTTTATTCTTCTTCAATAAATAAATATATTGAAGATTGGGTTTTATTCTTCTTCAATAGATAAATATATTGAAGATTGGGTTTTATTCTTCTTCAATAAATAAATATATTGAAGATTGGGTTTTATTCTTCTTCAATAAATAAATATATTGAAGATTGGTTTTATTCTTCTTCAATAAATAAATATATTGAAGATTGTTTTATTCTTCTTCAATAGATAAATATATTGAAGATTGGTTTTATTCTTCTTCAATAGATAAATATATTGAAGATTGGGTTTTATTCTTCTTCAATAAATAAATATATTGAAGATTGGGTTTTATTCTTCTTCAATAAATAAATATATTGAAGATTGTTTTATTCTTCTTCAATAGATAAATATATTGAAGATTGGTTTATTCTACTTCAATAAATAAATATATTGAAGATTGGGTTTTATTCTTCTTCAATAAATAAATATATTGAAGATTGGGTTTTATTCTTCTTCAATAAATAAATATATTGAAGATTGGGTTTTATTCTTCTTCAATAAATAAATATATTGAAGATTGGGTTTTATTCTTCTTCAATAAATAAATATATTGAAGGTTGGGTTTTATTCTTCTTCAATAATTAATATCAACAACAATAATAATGATGTATAAGTAAAAGTTAAAAGCAACCTACTTTGGCTGATGTAAGGAAAAATGAAATATTATGTTGGCCAGAACGTACTGACTCACTTAGGATGTTAAAAGAAAACAACAAAATTTTATGGTGCAGCACCAACATTTATTCTTCAAAATAAAGTCCAACATTCTTGACAATCTTCTGCCTGTGATCAGCCATCATCCAAATACATCCCAGATACCAGTCTGCAGGCTTTGAATTAAATGAAATCATGGCAAGGAGATGATATACAGGGAATTATAAGATATATATTTTTTTATAAAGCTCAATTGCCTCAGTTAAATAATGGACTATTTCATTTTGATTGTGAAGAAAGCTGAAAGAAAAAATATATCAGATATATCATTTGTTTTAATAAGAGAGAAAGAAAGAAAGAGGAAGATGATAATGTTCTCATGTGTTTAATGTTTGTTTCAGTGAAATGGGAAATATTGTCAATTTTTAATCTTTCCATTTGTAGTCTCTTCCATCTGTAAATAATGACCTGCCAGATAAATTAATGTGAAAAAATAAAAAACATACTGTGGAATTTTTGCTATTAAATTCTTATTAGGGTGATATGAACACTTACATAGACAAGTAGCTTTCTGTTTTAGTAAAAGACTTTAAACACTTCTATCTTCCCCTCTTTCTTTCTTACTAAAACCAAGTAGCATCTTTGATATTTCTTTCCACAAAATCAAAATGGAATAGTCCATTATTTATGAGGTATTGGCAGGAGATTTTAAACACTTCTATTTTCCCCTCTTTCTTTCTTTCATTTTCTCACTGAAACCAAATAGCATCTCCAATATGTCATTTCCATCTTTTCATGGGTCAAATCAGAATAGTCCATTATTTATGAGGTATTGGCAGGGTGTAAACTAGCTAAGGGACTAACTAACTAATGAAGTGAGGGACAAGTAGAATTATTATATGATGATTGTAGTTTCTACAGAGCTTTAAAGAATATATTCTGAAGTATTGCTCACTAAGAAATTCTCTCTGCAGATGTGATCCACACTGTCGGACCCCGGGGAGAGTATCCAGACAAACTGAAGGATTGTTATATGAGTTCACTTCAACTTTTAATTGATAAAAAACAAAAGACAATTGTAAGTATTACCTATCTTTCACCTATGAAAATGTTAATAGCATTATTAGACATTACCTTATGTGGAAATGTCTGTCAGTTTAAAATTTTTAAAATCTTTATCTTCAAACAAATTTTCAGAAAATAGATTTCTCAAGTCTGCTGTTATCATTATTTCCAGTATTGATGGGGGCTTCCGCCATAACATTTTGTTTAAGGTCTACGTTAACAGTTTCCGCCATAACATTTTGTTTAAGGTCTACGTTAACAGTTTCTTTTCTCGCACTTCTCGCTTGTAGAGCTCCCTTCTGTCTCCATGCTTTCCAGTTAGCTTTAATCTTCAAAAGTTTAAATGCAATGCCATCATTTTATCATTTTAGATTCTGTTTATAATATTGATACAGTGTAGAATTGATCCCTGACATTTTACTGAGTTATTTGGACATAGTTGTTTTGTGTACAAAAACAGGTTTCTTTTTTTTTTTTTACAAAAGATTACCTTTTTTAAATTAGGTATTATAATTAAAAAATAATGTCTTGTTTTCTTTTTATACTTTTCAGGCTTTTCCTTGCATATCAACTGGAATCTTTGGTAAATATTTCATCACTTTACTTCTTTTTTGTCATTTGCATATTAAGCAATTCACAAGAATCTACTGTCAAGATGGTTTCTTTGTTCAAAATCACTTCTTAACCTATATCTTCTTGGTGTCAGTTTAAACTGACAGCTTATTTTTTACATATTGTGACCATTTTTGCTTAAAGTTTATTTGTTCTTGATTTTAGATAAAAAGTTGAAAAAATTTTAACATATTTTGGTAACAATTTACACTTTTCAAAATTAAATTTTATAATTATAGTCAAGATATATGGAAGAAAAGAAGGCATCAATTTAAACTTATGCCAGGAGGACGTGTTTTTTAATCATAAATTGTCACATTTTGCCTTAATTATATTTCTGTTAAAAAGTGAAATCTTTTGTTAACCTATTTTTATCTTGAAGCAAAGTCCCAGAACTTTATCATGTTAGATTTAATTTCTTTGTCTACTATTTAAAATTTTGTAAACAAAATCTTTAAAACTCTGTAAATTACACATTTTTTTTTTTTTTTTTTTGTATGCGACTTGTTTTTTTTTTCAGCATCAGTACTAAAATTTGACAAAATCTTAAGTAGCTCATAAGTAATGTTGGGGCTTCTTAAGCAACTCAGATAAAAAATGTAAAATTAACAGTTACTAAATAATTCAATAATTCTACTAATTTAGTTACATTGAAATGTGTTTCTTTTCTATTTATTAGACACAAGCATAAAATATTTAGCAACTTGAGAATTATTTTTGAATGTGTAGGTGGTGTAATGGATAATGGCTTTGAATTGGAAATCAGAGAGCCAAGTTCCAATTCCAGTCAAGTTTGTTATATTCACTTATGCACAAATATTCTTGGGAAAGGTATGAATCCACCTTTTCTCAACCTAGCTATGGGTTAACTGTTAATACTTGTACCAGGGAATCATTATTATCTTCAAAAATTCTTACTGGCTTTAAATAACCTGCAAAAGGTTGATAAGCTGTAAAAAACAAATGAATCAATCAGATTATCTGATTATGTGCAGAATTACACAAAGCATACCAGAATAACAAAAGTAATCTTCAGTATAGTCTTTTCTTTCTCAATGGTAGAATTTTACCTTTAAATCAATATATGTATACCTGACTCATAGAAGTTTTTTAGCTGTCATTTTATCCAAGTGGAAGTTGCTTTTTTCACATCTTAATTATTGGAAAACTGCTGTTGTCTGAGTGTCTCCTTCATAGGCCCAAATTTGAGGGTGCCAGGTCAGCAGAGAAAGGTAGATGAGGCAAGGATGTCTGCAAATATACTCATCTAATTGCATTTCTGGCCTTTAAGCTCATGTGAAGTGGCCATGCATTGTCATGCTACAAAAGCAAAATCTCTCAATTTCAAATTTGGCCGAGCTAGAAAAAGAAACCTTACTCTGAGATTTGACAGTGTGCTTATGTCGGAGTCAGAATTGATAATAGTGCCATTATGTCTATTAACCAGGAGTGATAGTAGAAACAAGCTCCTACTGTCTATAAAATGCTTCTGTGGTATGCCTCTCAAATAGCCTCTGACGACTAAGTCCAGCTCCAACCTGGAGAATGGACAAATGCAGAAAACTGGCACCTTATAACCAGCTGCTTTGGGTAGATAAAGCTTGACAATTCTAAAAAGGCATTCTATGATAGTTCTTTGCTTTCTGTATGCCCAAAGTGGCAGCCATTTTGAAAGAGGATTATGGGTAGGAAAAGAGAAAGTAACTCCATAATTTTTCCCGGTGGCTTTTAAGTTAATTTATTGCTTTGTGGAATAATGTATTATTCCATCTACGACATTTTACGCGCGCGCGAGTTGCCTCCCTTTCTCCGACACTCGTGTGTGTGCGCGCGCGCGTTTTGACACCCCCCTTTCTCCCTCGTTCGGTCTAATACAGTAGTAATTGCTTTGGTCACCAACCAAGCGTCTTGCTACTACTGTTTATGCAAATTAGATTTTTGAAATCTTGCCGCGAAAAATTTGTGACGTCAACGACAAACTGTTGTTTCAAAAAAGTTAGTTGTGTTCCAGACTCTGAGCTGAGCAGACTCATTTTTATCCACGTCAATATTTCAGTTTGACTGACGAAGGATATCTTACTATGCGACCACAAATAATTAATTCCTCGTCCCTTCTGGCTGGTCATTCAAGAACCCTTTTCCGAGACGATGCAATACCAAATTAATTCTTCGTCCCTTCTGGCTGGTCATTCAAGAATCCTTTTCTGAGACGATGCAATACCAAATAATTGATTTTTCGTCCTTTTGGCTCGTCATTCATAATCATTTTTCCGAGACGATGCAAATACCAAATAATTAATTCTTCGTTCCTTTCGGCTCGTCATTCAAAAGTCCTACTCCGAGATGATGCAAAACATCCAAAATATTAATTCCTCGGCCCTTTGAGACTCGTCATTCAAAGTCCTACTCCGAGACGATGCAGAACATACAAAACAATCCGTCGTCCACTTTGGGTCTCGTCAGAAATCTGTTTTGAACCAGTACAAAAAAAAAAAAGAAAAAAAAAAATACGTACATAACATTCACTCACATTACCTAAACTCGCAGTGAGTATTTTTTCCTTGTATGAATATTACCATGTACATTGACTTACTGGAACCTTTTTTCTTCAAGAACCTTTTCCCGCCTTTAGCCATCTTTTTTTTTTATTTTGGCGCGGAACTATTTCATTGGTCCCTACCACGGGGCAAATTACTTGTTTTTCCTGCATTCAATAAAAAATTACTCTTGTTGAAACCCAGTCTTTTTCAGTCATTCCGAGGAGGCTATCTTGTTAATATAATTTAATTATGCACGTGTGATTTTTTTCACATTTCTTCGTTGTTCATTCACGCCTTTTTACTTTGCTTGTAGACTCGGTAGTTTAGTGTGGTGTCTGGCACAAGGCCACTCAGTATAATCCAGCACTGCACCCTACCGGGTCCGCAACAAGATTGGTGACCTTACGACGTGATACGAACACGTAATAATTTTGCAACCTTGCTAACATATTTCTGAGCAAGCTGAAATATAAACGTGCTTAAATTCGATAGCCGGAATGACGACTAGTGACTCTGAAGAGTTGGCGAACATGTCCGCCGCCGTCGCTCCTTTTCCCCCCTTTCATGAAGGGAATATAAAGAACTGGTTCTTACAAATGGAAGCCATTTTCACAGTCAGAAGGATTACAGACCAAAAGACCAAGTTTGGCCACGTGGTGGCGGTTTTGCCACCCGCCATTGTTGATGAGGTCTCAGACTTCCTAGAAGCCGTTCCTGAAGTAGAACCCTACGCCCGGTTAAAAGAAGCGATCTTAAGGAGAATGGGCCGTACGGAGGAATCATTAATCCGGGAACTATTTAGCAACCTAACTTGTGATGGCAGGACTCCCTCCCAACTTCTTCGTTATATGAAAAGCCGACTCGGCAAAAATACCATGGCCGACTCTATATTAAAAAGCTTGTGGCTGGACCGTCTCCCCACCACCATAACCCAAATTTTGGCGCCAATGTCCGAAAACACCTCGATCGATCAATTAGCGGACGCCGCGGATCGTATTTTCTCGCAACTGGATAATCAGACAACGCCGGTACACAGTGCTGAAGCGACTGGAGACCACAGGTCCTGGAAAAACAGTCGAGGAATTGCAGCGCCAAGTTAAGGATTTAACATTAGCTCTAAAGAGCCGTGGTCGAAGCCGGTTCCCTTCCCGCCGGCGCTTCAGAAGTCGACCACGCTCGTCCAGCCGAGATAAGGATGCCACTCCTACTATGTGTTACTACCACCGAAGATTTGGGTCTAAAGCTTATTACTGCATCAAGCCGTGTACTTATACTGCGGTCGCGGAAAACAAAACCGCCAGCGAGTGAAAGCGACTAATCTCGCTGGCAAGGCATTTTCACCAAAACTTAGTCGCCTTTTTTATGTGACGGACACGCGTAATAATTTACGTTTTTGGTTGATACCGGCGCTGCCATTAGTGTCTTACCCGTGCGTGATAAAGCTCGTCAACAACCTTTTCAGCTCCGCTTACAAGCAGCAAATGGTTCCAATATTAATACTTACGGTACGAAGTCCCTTACCCTAAACATAGGGATGCGACGAGACTTTACTTGGAATTTTACTGTCGCTGACGTCCAGATGCCGATACTAGGTGCTGATTTCCTGGCGCACTATGATCTCGCCGTGCGAATGAACAATCATTCCCTTACTGACAACTTAACAAGTCTGTGTGTTCTTGGCACTTATTCTAAACTTACTACCACTGGCATCACCGTGGCAACGTGCCACAATAAAGAGTACTTAGATTTATTGAATCAGTACCAGGACCTCATGCGTCCTGCTGGATCTATTGATTCAACTAAACATCAAACACAGCACTTTATTAAGACCACTGGTCAACCTGTTTTTCCCGTCCTCGTCGTCTAGCACCTAACAAATTAAAATTCGCAAAGAAAGCTTTCGACGACATGCTACGAGAGGGTGTTATTCGTCCGTCCGACAGTCCTTACGCTTCCCCTCTTCATTTAGTACCTAAACCAGGAAAGGAGGACTATAGAATTTGTGTGGATTATAGAAGATTGAATTCCATCACCGTCCGGGATCGTTATCCAATCCCCCACCTCCACGATTTCACTTCTGGTTTACAAGGCGCAAAGATTTTTACTAAAATAGATCTAGCAAAAGCATATTATCAGGTGCCAGTAGCTGCTGCTGATGTCCCAAAAACTGCTGTTACTACACCTTTCGGTTTATTTGAGTTTTTGAAAATGCCTTTCGGCCTTTGCAACGCAGCACAAACATTCCAACGTCTTATGGACGAGGTTCTGCGTGGACTCCCTTTTGTTTTCGATTACATTGACGACATTCTGATAGCTAGCGAGGACGCTGCCTCGCATAAACAACACCTACACGAAGTTCTTCAACGTTTGTCCCATTACGGATTTCGTCTAAACCTGGACAAATGTGTCTTCGGAGCAGACCATATAGAAT